TGAGCTGAAGGCAGATGCTTAACGACTGAGCCACCCAGGCACCCGCAAACATTTTTTTTCCCAGTCTGTGGTTCATCTTTTTGTCCCTTTAATATTGTCCTTTGCAGTGATTTTTATGAAGTCCAGTTTAACATTTTTTTTCTTGTCGATTATGTTTTTGATGTCTTATCTAGGAAATCTTTAACTTAAGGTCACAAAAATGTTCTGTTTTCTTATAGAAGACTTACAGTTTTAGTTTTTACTTTTAGGACTATGATCCATTCTGAGTAATCTTTTTTCTTTCATTAGCCCATCACATTTATTATTTTGTGTTCTGTAAGTTAGCTTTTCATGCATAAGAGTTGCTTGACCCCAAACTTTTTGCCCCAAGTCTAATGTCTTAAAACATTAACCATTTATTTAGTTTATAAGTTTGTGGCTTGTCAATTGGCTAGACTTGGCTGAGAATATTTTCTGGTGTTTTGGAACAAAGCTCAATCATGTATTGGTGCTCAATTGTCTGTCAGCAATATAACCATCTACCAACAGATATAGTAAATCACTGAACTAGGATGGCTCAGAGGACTCAGCACATAGTCATACCAACAGTCATGATTTGTTATGGCAAAAGGATTCAGTGCACAGTCAGGGAAGGGAACTGGATGAAGCCCCAGAGAAACAAGGCACAAACTTCCAAAAGCTCCATTCCAAGTGGAATCACACAGGGCACACTTCATGTCCTCTTCAATGAGATGTGATAAAGCATGTGAATTGTTGCCAACCAGGGAGTTTCTTTAGAGACTCAGTGCCCTGGGTTTTTATGGAGATCTGATCACATAGGCTGCCTCTGCTTAGCATGTGCCCAAATTCAAGACTCCCAGAAGGAAAGCAGGTGTTCAGCATAAGCCACATTGTTTATACAAACACTTTAGGTACAATGAGCCATTTGTATTAGTTAATGGTGGGGATCCCTTTGAAATCTAATTTTTCAGACACCCGTCAAGGGCAAATCTTGCAAGCAGGCCTTTTCAAAAATAGTAGGCCAGAGCTACCGTGTTAATTTTTTTTCTGTATAATTGCTATTGAAAACAGTTAGTTAATAGGGGCGCCTGGGTGGCTCAGTCAGTTAAGCATCTGCCTTAGGCTCAGGTCAGGATCCCACTGTCCTGGGATCCAGTCCTGCATCAGACTCTCTGGTCAGAGTCTGCTTCTCCCTCTTCCTGCCTCTCCCCCCTGCTCCTGTGCTCTCTCTCTCTCTCTCCAATAAATAAATCTTAAAAATACAGAAAACAATTAGTTAAAATTAAAGGAAGTTATTCTCCTAATGTTCTGAAAACAAAATAAAACAGAATCTATAAAAGCCATGCCCCATCTTCATTTATCTCTTTTATCTGATTTTCACAGGACCAATGCTAGGAAGCATATAACCATCTTCTTGGCAATCTTACTGAAAGTTTTAGGTAAAATTCCCCTGAAGGTCTGAAATCATCACAATATTTTAAAAGATATAAATGATATCAAAAGTTGTTATGCAGGGGCACCTGGGTGGCTCAGCCGTTAAGCGTCTGCCTTCGGCTCAGGTCATGGTCCCAGGGTCCTGGGGTCGAGCCCCGCATCGGGCTCCCTGCTCGGCGGGAAGCCTGCTTCTCCCTCTCCCACTCCCCCTGCTTGTGTTCCCTCTCTCGCTGTGTCTCTCTCTGTCAAATAAATAAATAAAATCTTTAAAAAAATAGCTGTTACGCTTATAATCACTTATAAATAACAGATTTTAATGTAGTCATGTTATCTCCTTTTTATTTCATATTTTTATTCTTATAAGTTTAGGTACACATTTCATAAATCATTTAGAATCTATAAAATACAGGTTTCTATAACCCGTAGAATACTTCATTATGGTGCTTACTATAATATCATACCCTAAAATCTATATCAATAGCTGCACTGACATAATTTATCTTAAAATCATTCGAGTTTGTATGAATCTTTCAACTTCAGATGAATATTTTGTTTGACATTATTATTGAATGATAACGTGAAATGTAAAAACCTCCAAGAATGGTATTGGCAAATGTGTCCTCTGCTGAACTGACCTATGATACTCAATATTCTATTAGTTGATAATATCTGAGTAATAGGATCCTTGTGCATTTATCAAAATCTTGTATGTTTAAAAATAACTTTTATTATTGATAATGTCCCTCTTTTATATTAAAATTAAACTTTAGGTAGCTAATTTAATTGGAAATTAATACATAATAAAAAGTATTTTAATTTTGTTCTTATACACTGTTCCTTTCAATTTATTGTTTCCACTTTACCTGCTTTTTTCATTAAATCCCTTGCTACACTTGGAAGCATGCTTTAGATTCCTTTGCCGTCTTATTCTATCAGTGACACTCATAAATAAAATATAATACTCTTTAACTACTAAACATGTTAACTTATAGGTGAAATGTCATGTTTGAAAGCAATGTTATCCCCCACCCAACAGATTACTAATTATAAAGGAAAAAATACTTTAAAATGAAGAAGTCTTCATTTCTCCCTGTCCCCACTCATGTTCTCTCTCTCTCTCAAATAAATAAAGAAAATCTTTTAAAAAATTAAAAAAGAACTGAATGTGGTAAAGTTATATAAAGACAGAGCAGTAGAAATAAAATGAATCCATGATCAAAGAAAAAGAATGACATTATTAAAACTCAGGAATAAAAATTGATGTTTATTAATTAATTAAAAATTCTGTGAAATGAATAATTCCTATTGGTAGAAATTCTATTAAAAGTTATTTAAATTTTTAATAAGTCAAGGTTAAACAGTGTATAAGATATAGCAAAAAGTATCTATGAGTTTAAGGTAGATATGAAAATATAAATTGAATACAAATAATTCTCATGGAGAGAACTTCTAGAAGTAAAAATAAAATATTTCTAAAGTTTAACATATCAAGTTTAAACAAAATATTAAGTATACTGGAGAGAGAATTAGTGAATGGAATACATAAAGAAATTATAGATATGGAGAAGAGAATGATTTGATCCAATACATAGCCCTTAATAATAGTGTCTAAGAGAAAACTGAAGAAGCAAAAGTAAGGAGGAAGAATCATTTCCATAAAAATAGACAATACTTTTCCAGAATTTCCATATTTAGCAAGGTCAATAATTTCTGAGCAAAATTAATAAAAATAAATTTTCTAAAAACTCAAGTTCATTACTATTACTTTATATTATGCATTAATAAGACCCAAAAAAGTTGATTCTCTGAAATGATTAAGCAATCCACTGAAAAATAGGTTAATTTAACAAAATAAGGATGACAGAAGGCAAAACTAAAAAATCCATAGTATGAAAAATTTCCCATAATTTTAGATACACACTAACTAAAATAAAATTAAAACTACAATTTAGAATAGATTGGACTGCAAGAATCAATAAAACCAATAAACCAATAAAACTAAAAATGTATTTGCATACTGGAGTTTATTATTTAAGTATTATTAGTTTAAATATTGAATATTATTATGTGAAACTAGTACTTCTTGATGTAGATTCAGGTACCCAAGCTCCTTACTCTTTGTGCATCCTCCATCCACCAGGGTTTTATGTCATCTTTACTTTGCTGATAGGAGACAAAGAGAGCTTGGATGAAGCACATTCATGTCGTAAATGCCTTGGTGTGGTAGTAATACACAACCCTTTACTCATAGTCCATTGACAGGTATCCCGATATTAACATGTGGCCTGGCCCTGTGTTCAGGAAAATGAGTGAATCTATTTCTAGTGAAGGGTAGCTGTCTGTGCCACAAAAACTAAGATGGAATAAGCCATTTGTATGACTTAGAAATATTCACTCAATACTGAGTGACATATAGAAAATCTGAATGGGGAATAAACTTATTAAAGATGTGTTAAATTGCAGGGCACCTGGGTGGGTCAGTCATTAAGCATCTGCCTTCGGCTCAGGTCATGGTCCCAGGATCCTGGGATTGAGCACCGGGAAGACTGCTTCTCCCTCTCCCACTCCCCCTGCTTGTGTTCCCTCTCTCGCTGTGTCTCTCTCTGTCAAATAAATAAATAAAATCTTTAAAACAAGTGTATTAAATTGCTAAATAAAACCTAACCCCAAATAGTTAAGCCTGGAAACCTTCACGGGAATGTTTTACAAACATTACAGGAATAGCCCCATTCATTAATAAATTATTCCAGTAGTTAGATAAAAGAGGAAGCACTAAGAGATCTCAATTTTTTAGGTTAACTGATAAAAAAAAAAAGAAAAAATATAGAAAATTATAATCATGGGTATGGTGAGTTAAATACAATATTAGCAATCTACAATACATGTATTATATATGTATATAGATAATTATGTAAATTATCTATATACATATATTCATTATCCACACATAGGTGCTTCATACTAATAAACACATGAATGTATTGTCAAAAACTTCATGAACCTTTGGTCTCCAAAGCTTGTAGACACGTTTTGTGAAACTTACTTTTTACTCTTCTTTTTTTCTTAATTCACAACAAAAGGAGCAAGCACAGTTCCTTCTGAAGTGGACACAGGCAATTAGTACGTACTAGATGATTTTGAACATTACATGAAGTAAGAAATGCAAGATGCTTAAAACAGTTGTTGGCTTTTAGTGAGTTATATTTATCTTGGTTATGGGTCTAGGTGCAGGTCATTTCTAGCAGATTGGCCTAATGTTTTAAATAATACAATGGGGGCGCCTGGGTAGCTCAGTTGGTTGAGCGACTGCCTTCGGCTCAGGTCATGATCCTGGAGTCCCTGGATCGAGTCCCGCATCGGGCTCCCTGCTTGGCGGGGAGTCTGCTTCACCCTCTGACCCTCCCGACCCTCCCCCCTCTCATGTGCTCTCTCTCTCTCTCATTCTCTCTCTCTCAAATAAATAAAATCTTTAAATAAATAAACAAACAAACAAACAAACAAATAAATAAATAATACAATGGTACATGGTTTAAACAGTTTCGTAATTCTCTTCACCTACTGTTTAGGTTGCTTGGAATTAAAGGAAGACACCATTGAAAACCTTCTTGCTGCAGCGTGCCTTCTTCAGCTTCCCCAAGTGGTGGAAGTGTGCTGCCACTTCCTCATGAAGCTGTTGCACCCATCCAACTGTCTGGGGATCCGAGCCTTCGCAGACGCTCAAGGGTGTATTGAGTTAATGAAGGTAGCCCACAGCTATACAATGGTAAGAAGATTTAATATTTTAATCACAGAGGCAGAGCTGTGTTATCAGAGGTTAAAACAATTACTGTCTTTGCATCGAATGACTTCTTTCTGTTTAAAATGACTTCTACAAGCTTGGCACATTTCTATTACGGGGCACAATGTAGGATATAGTATTTTATAATAGCAAAGTAAAAAAAAAATAAAGCGTATTCATAATGGACTTTATATCTACATTGCCTATAAATAGTAAAAAAAACCATAAAGCAATTAAAGACTGTTTAAGATTTTAGAAGTTGTTTAAGTGAATCTTTCTCATTGCTCCTGGCGTATCTATCTTTTTATATCTACTTCCACAGCTACCCTTTTTTTTCCCTTTTCTTTCTAGAAAAGAGTGACCAGTCTGTGCCACAAAAAAACTTTTCTTTTGCCTTTTTTTCTTACAACCTTTTTACTATGGAATAAGTTGTTATCAACCAAAATTCAATGTTGAAGTCTTACCCACAATGTGTTAGTATGTGGAGATGGGGGCTTTGGGTTGTAATTCGGTTTGGATGAGGTCTTGAGGATGGGTCCCTCTTGATGAGATTAGTGCCCTTATACGGACACATACCAGAGAGTTTGCCTCTTCTCTCCACCTTGTGAGGACACAGTAAGAAGGCAGCCACCTGCAAGCCTCTAGAAGAGAGCCTTCACCAGGGACCCCAATCAGTCTACCCCTTCATCTTAGACTTCCCAGTCTCCTGAATAAGGGAAAGAGATTCCTGTTCCTTAAGCTACCCAATCAGTAGTATTGTGTTATAGCAGACTGAGCTCACTGATACATTTTCATCGTAGCACATTATGTTTGGTGTGACTTTGCCTATATGATTTGTGGATGAAAAAAATCATACTTACAGTATATATTATAAAGTATTTATTGGTAGAGTAAATATTGGATTTCAAAACTCCTGGAAACTTCTATAGTAAGTGAAAATATTTAGATGTTTAAACCAACCACTCTACATTTTTTTTTCTATAATTGACTTTCTGTACCATTTTAATGATGGGCTTAAATGGAGTGAATATCACTCGGTAGATATTCCAAAAATGATTTAAATCTATTTATTTTCTCTTTGATTTTTTTCTATATATACATAAGTATTTTAACAGCTTTATAGAGATGCCAAAAATCATTTGGATCGCACACTTTAAATGTGTGAACTTTGTGGTGTGGGATTTTTTTCATGTGATTTCCTTTCTAGAATAGAATAATCAGTTATAACAATTCATACAATATTTCATACCCTAGAAATAATCATCCTAAAAGCACTTAATCTAGTTTCTGGCATATAGTAAGTCCTATATAAAATGTTAGCCATTTTTCTTATTTTCATTATTAACATTATTAATGATTTGATTGTTATTATTGAAACAACCAATTGTAGAATATAGAACTTTCCCTTTCCAACTCAAGGGAAGAATTTATATGAGTTAAATCTCATTAAGCTTTATAGTTGCTACTTATTAAAAATTCTTATTTTAAGATTCAACATCTTTTCAGATCACTAATGACTGTCAGCCATTTAAAATCTTCTAATTGTTATTATTATACAGAATTTCAATACTATTTTATTTTTCTTCTTTAATCCTTTAAGCAGATTAGTAAATTAAATGAAAATAAACAATAAAAGGAGGGAGATATATGCTTTTTAATTCTATTGTCAAATTTTTCCTCTGAAATATTCCATGACAGGGCATAGTACTGCTACTGAAATTATATGAACCATGTAAAATCAATGTAAACAAATAGTTCATCAGCCAAAATATCAAAGTCCAACTGCAGTCATTTAATTATGCACATTTCATTACGGTTAGGAGTTCCTGGCTTAGCTAAGCCAAAGAACAATATGCCTCCATATCCAGAGGGATAATGGTCCCTTCTGGTCTAGTTTGAAATTATTAATTTAGTATTAAAGACATTTTTCCTGCAGCTGCTTGGACTGCTCTGCAATTTATCACACAACAATAACAGTATTTTTTCTTTAGACATTTTAAAATGTATATTCTATAGTAAAATATATTTAAAACCGAAATATAAAAGAGTTCTAGTTAATATTCTTAACATTCTAAACAACTCTACTTTATTTTTGAGACTATGAATGGATTATGTGTTGTGTCATGTCTATTGAAAATTAAATGGTTTCAAATTCTTTTGGAAACATGAAGCTCCATCATTTTCAAGATGCTCACAGATTACCATTTTAGTGAAGAAAATTTACTGACCAGTTTTCTTCCTACACCACTATTTTCTCTCAGTTCTAACACTTTAAAATGACTGTTTTGCATCTGATGTTATAATTTTTCACCATATCTTTGCTTCTGATCCTTGTTTAATCACGCATGTGTCCTCATCTAATCTATTCAATCTGTGCTTTGAGAGCAAACTTATAATATTATCAGTTTTTTTTCTTTTTAACTGCTTTAATATAGCAAATCATCCCAGGTTTCCTGGTACATCTGGGACTAAATTCTTCATTGGCTCTTATTATTTATTTGCTTATTTTATAAGTAACACTTTTTTTTTCTAATTTTTAATTTCCTTGCTAAAATTTTTAGATATGAACTTGACCTTGAATGGCTAGATCTTACTTTGCTAGTTGCCTGCGTCTTTCTATTTATATCCTTTGCTAACTTTCTTTTGGAAATTTCACCCAGTTATTTGGCTTCAGCTATTGATTTTGTGTGGATGATTTCAAAATCTATTCAGGAAGGTGACCCAACTTGGCAGTGGTTCATGTGCAAAATACCAGAAAATTTTGAATGAAGCTCAGTATTAGGTAGAAGTGTGAAACTAATTCTAAAACATTAATTTAAACTTTGGCTGCATGAATATATAAACAGCAACAAAATAATTGAAGGAAATAGTCCCCCCTCTATTATTAGTCAGAGTTCATTATGAGACCTGTGCTTAATTTTGGACATCATATTTTAAAGCATTAGAGAGTGACAAATAGAAACAGATGAGAATAACAAGAATAGCAAATATTTTATATTCATGTCATATGAAGGGACTTTGAAAGACATTTGGGTTCCTGTAGCTGAATAATATTATGGCAGGAAAAGAGTCATCTTCACATATTTGTTAGAATAGACTTCTGTCTAAAACAGTGTTGTGTAAATGTTTCTCATTCTGTTTTTCATTTTAGTAGTAGTCTTCTGTTCAAATTAAAGGTTATATGAAAGAATAATACTAAGGTTGATTTCCTTTTTGTGAAGATGAATGGGAAGTCCAGAAGTCTATGTCAGTCATCTGATCTTTCTTTCTCCGCTGGGTTCTCTATTTCTACTAATCATCCCTGCCACTTCCCTCCAAGGTCATCGGGCCTTTTGAGGAGACTCCTGGAACTGCATTTCCCAGAAATACTCTCTCCATTAGGTTCTCGGTTAGAGTTTGCCAATAACAAGCATCCATGTAGGGGATGGAAAGTGGAAGAGGTGAAGGGTACAACTTCACAAGCAGCCGAAAGCAGAAAAGTGGACGAATGGAAAATTGAAATAAATGCTTTGCAAGCCTTTGAAAGCGGTGTACTTCCCTGCTGGAGACTGAGACCTTCTGGAGGTTCTTGGGGAATGGAGTGCCTTTGCTGAGTGTTTTTGAGAACAATTCACATCGAACTGAAGGTTGAGACCATTAACATAAAGTTCCTGACCTTCACTTGCACCACCTGTCAATTCACTGTCCACAAATCTTTCTTGTATTGAACATAGAGTGGCTTGTTTTCCTAATCCAACACTTACCTCAAAAGAGCAGATTCACACTCCATATTTGGAGTCCTCCACACCTAGCTTCTAAACCACTCCCCTGGCATTTTTCCTCAAAAATTAATGGAATTGACTTCACCCCTCCTAAACACGTGCTGTGAATTCCCTTCACTTATACTTTACTCATGATATTTCTCTTGCCTGGAATCTCTGGTATCTAATTCTAAATAACCCCTCCGTTTCCAGTTTTAGTTCATCCATGCCTAAGAAATATCTTAAAACTTTTCATTGCATTCTTTCTCTCCTTTGAAATCTTAGTATTCCTCTATTTAGGATTATGTGGCATCATTATAAATTTCCTTATACAATTAATTACCTTTTTCTGTCTTTGTGACTGGTCATCACAACTCTATTGCAGAATCCTTTATGATAGAATAAGTATTCTCTGTGGAAATGCATTTTGTCCTGACAAAGTATCTAGTACATTGTAATATATTAACATATTTCCTTTGGATAGTCTTTTAAGATTGTGACTCTCAGCACTCATGAATTCAGTGATTCAAGAAGACCACACATGGTTTTCCTCTTTCTTTTCAGTCTTATTTCTTACCATTATTTTCCCTATTCACATAGTTCCAGCCACACCAATCTTTTTTTTTTTTTTAAGATTTTATTTATTTATTTGACAGAGAGAATGAGAGACAGAGAGCATGAGAGGGAAGAGGGTCAGAGGGAGAAGCAGACTCCCCGCCGAGCAGGGAGCCCGATGCGGGACTCGATCCCGGGACTCCAGGATCACGACCTGAGCCGAAGGCAGTCGCTTAACCAACTGAGCCACCCAGGCACCCCCAGCCACACCGATCTTACTGCTTTTTGACTACACCAAGCATCTCACCTGATGACCTTTGTGTTTGCTCTTTCTTCCCTCTGCCAGAAACACTCTTCTACCAAACATCTCTATACCCTTACACTGTTTCATATCCTTTAGAGTACTTATGAGTTTCTGGCTTTATATTTTTTTTATTTTGTCGTTGTTTTGTTGCTTTCTTCTCTACCATTACTATGGCAGTTTCTTGGTAGCATTTTTTTAAACATCTGTACCTTAAGTGCATAGCATTTATTGTTGAGTGAAAGAGTGAGTGACTGTTGAATACCCTATACCAGGAACTATAGTAGGTGGCGCTGGAGATACAATGGTGACCAAAATAGACATTGATTGCCCTTAGAATAAAGATGAATATGTTGAATGCAAATAAATTACTACTATAAATGACAATT